GTTATGCGATTGTGAATGTATTGTTTCTCTGAACTATGACTAACGTTTCAGCTGCCCTTCGTCTGTTTCGCCGCATAGTACAGCTGAAAGACGAGGTGTACAATTCGTACATTATTGGGGAACAGCATTTTGGGCCGATCATTCAGCGCTTCCGCGAAAATGGCAATAAATACAACCTGTTGAATAGCGCTTTTCTGGAACTTTTCGAGTTCATCCGAGTTGTACGTTTGTTTGTAGTACTTGTACAGCTGGTTGTGCATTGAGCGCTTAGCATTACTTTAGGATGACATCAAATCGTTGTGCGCACACATCGTTGAGAAGTACATTGACGAGTTCAAAGACGTCGATTACGTAAAGACCTTCCAGTCGCTGGCACTCAGGTACGAGCAGCAGAAGGACCGCTTGAGCAGCGCTAATTCGTCATCCGGGTAAGGCGTTTTTTCTTCTTCGTTTTATCGACCCACGAGTGGCCAATCTTTTTTTCCTCCAATTTGTCGACTTTTAAGTTCACGACATGATTACAAAACCAGGGTCGTTTTTTGTCACAACGGACTTTTTTATATATCGCCTATTGGAACTTCAAGACAAAATTTGATCGTTGTTTGGCTTAGCGGCATGAGAAATTCATCCGAATTCTACGCCACACCTCTAATAACTTGACGCTGTTTTGATGCAGTGATTTATAACCCTCGGGTACTCCAATGAAACAGGACAAAGAGAATTTTTGCGGTAGTAGTATGCTTGTTAACCCATAAGGTCGGTATTCATTTTTATGTACTTGATACCTTTTTAGCCTCCAGTCCAAATTTTCGACCGTAAAACAGCGATCTTCTTCAGATTCAAGAAGCGAGTTCAACGATAAAGGATTGCACACGGAGCACAATGCTTGCACAATGTTCTGTGAAATCATATGGTTGTTCGCATATCTTCAGCGTATCATACTACTATTTCAGTCACATGTTCCAACGATATACGAGATTCCTTGATTACGAGCTTCAGCTTATCGTTCTCACGGTCAGTTACAGAACTGTTGCCATCATGTAGTTCATGGGCTGTCTCTGGTTGTATAGACATCGAAGACATCGTGTCTTTGCGGTTGCTCTTTTGCGATCACTCATCCGAACATTAAGTGCCCTGCATATCTTCCCCCCTCCGTGTGACGACTTTAACTGATCCTCTTTCTTCCTTTCATTTTTCCCCTTTTTTCTTCAAAACCCTATAGTAAGATTTTTAGCACTAACTGTACTTATAGTCATATGATGTCTGGTCAGGAGAAAGATCAGCGCGAAGCCGATGAACTCGAAGAACAGTGGTTCAACAACGATGATGAGGTAGGTGTTTTCAATGACGTGTCTGAAATGTGATTGCGCAATTGGTTACACGTGTTTTCAGGAAAGCTGGGACAGCGACCTACCATCCGGTTCCGTCAGTGTCACGAACGTTCCCTTTGATGACTCACTGCCGTTTGCACCCAATTCCGATTCGGTCGTCGTGGGCAAGGGCGTCAGTGGGATCGATAGCAATAGAGAATTATTTTCTGCCAGCGGCAGTGGCGACAACGGTGCTATTTCAAATCGGCCTCTGTCTCCTTCAGCGAATAAATCGCCCACGACCGCCAGCGATTGGGAACCAGAATTTCCTTCGCTACTCAGAAAGCATGAAGGTGATCGTCTTGATTGAAAACCTCTTTTTCCTTTAGTCTGCTGCGGTTTGCTGTTAGGTGCAGGCGTGATCCTAAGCGTTTTTCTGACTGAGGTCTGCGACAGCACTTAAGGGTTAGATATCCCGTAAGCGCGTGAGATCAGGCTTATGCTTAACTTGTTAGAATTGATCTATCAGCGCTTACGGTTATTACGTTTTTTCTCTTAAATGCTTTGTGATTTTAACCAGTGACTTTCCC